TAGAGTAGCGAGAAGCTAGCAATGTTTTGTCTTTAGGAAAGGAATTGTAGGGGGAGAAATTGTTCATCGCCCACACGGCCGGTTAAACGGTTTTGAACTGTCAATACTGGAAAGTTTATGTGACCGAACCGTCGCACAGAAAGTGAACGACAGACTCAGTTCTTGGGAAAGACAGGGTAGTGGTTTCCCGTTGCCTTTATTTTAACCCATAACTGACAAGAGAAAAGGGAAATGTGAGTAAAGTAAAGATCCCAAATGCAAGACTGTATTCCACAAGCTTAGTAAATATATTAGTTTTGAAGCTTCATTAAGAAACTTAGCTATTCCTCGTGTCCAAAATATAGACTGTTAAAAACAAAACTTAACTCTGATGATAAGAGTGTCCAAGTACCTTCATCCTTGTGCCGCAATAAATAACCATCTCAACCACGCTGATCAGGTCTTATGGTGCCAATTTTCAAGTGTTTACATGTTTGACTAATTTGAGGTTCCTACAATAACAGTCTCCTCCTGCGGTCACCAAAGAAGGTCTGAGTCACGTTGCTGCCCGCCCAGTCAGAGGTTACTTACTGTGACCACTTGCAGAACTACTTGTCTTCAGAGTCGAGTTGCGAAGCTGGGAAAAGAAAGAGGGTTGGGCCGGTGGGGGGCGTGGTGTAGGTAGCGGAAATTTCGCTAGAGTTGGTGGAGGAATAATGGTGAAAAGAATTGCAGACAGGGGTAGAGGGCAGAGTTGGGAGACAGGGGTAGAGTTGGGAGAGGACGGAAATGGTCTATGATTCACATCCTTCCTGCATTCTTTTCCTTTCTCGTTATGCCTTTGTCTCTTTCTCTTTACCCCCCTCTCTCTCTCTATATATATATATATATATATATATATATATATATATATATATATATATATATATATATATATATATATATATATATATATATATATATATATATATATATATATATATATATATATATATATATATATATATATATATATATATATATATATATATATATATATATATATATATATATATATATATATATATATATATATATATATATATATATATATATATATATATATATATATATATATATATATATATATATATATATATATATATATATATATATATATATATATATATATATATATATATATATATATATATATATTTATGTATATGTACATATATATATATAATATATATTTTAATGATCGACTTAATTTTTTTCTCATATCCCTAACACTCAGTAAGCCCCTGCATCTTAGGGGACTGACAGAGGGGTAATTATTAAAAAAAGTAAAAGGTAATCCGATAAATGAACATAGGTATAGATAAATATAAACATAATTTGTTAGATAGATAGATAGATAGATAGATAGATAGATAGATGCACTGATTGAGATAGATAGATAGATAGATAGATAGATAGATAGATAGATAGATAGATAGATAGACAAGGTACTGATTTAGATAGATAGATATGAACGTACTGAGATAGATAGATAGATAGATAGATAGATAGATAGATAGATAGATAGATAGATAGTGTTGTGCACGCAATTTAAACTTTTAAACATTTTATTCAATATTGAGTAACAATAGATGTAAACATGACAAGTGGATTACGGGTGGATTAAGTGTGCGATGGAGAATAAGAGGGAATGCCTAACTGTTATCTTGAAATCTCTTTTCTTCTGTCTTCTATGATCAAGGGACATAACTTGGTTCCCATCAAAGGAGCTAGTTAACTCCCTTGTTATTACATCCGTCCTACCCCAACGACCTTGAAGCATGATGCTTGTAGGTGTCTATTTCTGTTTCCCGTTACGGTAATCTTTGACAGGTACAATCTGGTACTGTTCCATGATGCCGGTTGAACTGCCATCACTCTGTTTCTTTTATAAGAACGGTCTGGAACTGGGCGAATGGCTCCCCCCTAGGAGTGGGGCGTATTTTAGTGTTCATCAAGGCTTCTGCAGGTAAATTATCATTTGCTGTGTTTGAATTTGGGGTTGCTCTATAGTTACTTAAGAATATTTCGACGATTTCTGGTGTAGTTGTTTCCCTTTTTAATTCTAAGAATGCTCTCTTAAAGATGTTTACAAAACGTTCAACTTATTTATTTGATTGCGAATGGAAAGGTGTGATGTGCTGAAACCGGTTCTGTCGACATAAATCTGAGAATTCTGCTGAGGTAAATGCACTACCTTTATCGGAGACTAAGATCTCTACGATTCCAAATCTGCTAAACACTTGTAGCTTTGTTATGGCTTCTCCAGATTGGAAACACTTCTGGTTATTTGCTATACGCATCAAACAGGATGAAGCAGTGTTGTCCTTTGATTGGTCCAGCAAAATCAATATGAAATCGTGACCATGGAGATTCTAAGTTAGCCATGAACACAATGTGGTTTTCCGGGAGTGGAGGCTTTAGTACCTGTTGACATTTTGAGAGATTTTGCCCGAATTCCTCTAACTGCATGTTCATATTTGGCCAATAGAAATAACTGTGTACTAAAGCTTTCATTCGGTTTATTCCTTGATGTCCGTAAAGAAATGTTTTCATAACTCTGTTTTGTAGTTCCAGTGGTACGATGACACGATCGCCGAACACAATGGTACCATTAACTTCATACCAGGAAGATCTACGTTCGAAGAATGGTTGCAGCTGTCTGTCAGAACATATTATTGGCCAGTTAGTTTCTGTAGCAATGGATCTGAGGCGGTAGCTTCCCAGATCCTTTCTGGTGTAACTGGTAGCGCTTTGTGTGTGGATCTAATCTAAAATACATTAAACACAGATTTTAGGAGAATATTGGAAAACTTCAGTTCTTCAATAGAATCCAATGCAAGAAAGTTTAGGTTGGATGAATCGGTAATATAACACATTTCTGAAACTTGTTTTTGAAAAAGAAATCACAAATCAACACACCAGTCAGTAGGATCGTGCCAATATGATTTATGCTTGTCAAGGCGAGTTTTTGCAATGATTTCCACGTTGAATGTTATATAAATGTGATATAAGATGATGTTTCCAAGTAGAATCTTACAGGACAGTTGTTAATGTAAATGTATTCCCTGCGAGATTCAAGATTTACTTTAAACGTTGCAAAAATTAAATTCGCGTTAGAACTCCGACTAAAAACGGCTATGTCTGTCTCTTGAATTTGAGACATTCTTTTTTGTTATTATATTTTTCTCTCTCCGTAGTTTGCAAAATTTGTCCATGTGTCCACGGCACGAGTAGTAATATTGCAATATATGTTGTTTTTTAATGGACATTAAGGTGCGTAATGCCATTTGGTTGTTTTTCATTTGTCGTTGGAGATTTTCTTTCCGCTCGATAATTGTTGATAACAGAAGAATGAACAGACTGTTGCAACATAAGTATGTCCTTCTTGAGGTTGATCAAACATTGATATTTGATCTTTAGCGCTGTTATCGTTATGTCCTTGTCTTGTTCGAGTTTAGACAACAACCGTGTCTGAATATTGGCATCTTTTGTGGATTGTAACCCAGAACTTAATGAGGAACTGACGGTTAACAATGCCAGCGAACGTAATATGGTCATTCACATTCCGCTTATTTAACTTCAGACAGTTATATCTACCATTAAACAAGGGAAGTGACTCGCCGAATATATTAATTGTTTAATGGTCTACGCAAAACTAAAATCTTTAGCCTGTTTGGGCAATATAAAATTGGTGAAACACTCGTGTTCCCAGTATTAAGATTCCTCATCAATAGACAGGACTTCCAAGCATCAACCTTGCTAGGGAATTGGTGTTGGAAAGTGTCCTTCCAACGTTTGAACCATGCATCTAACGTGTTTCCCGAAGTTGGGTCAAAGTGGAAATCCGAAATTGTAGTTGCTGTTTGGTCGGCTGTGGAATCTAAGACATTTAGTCACATTTTTTATGCCATGGCTAATTACATTTTGAAGAAATTCGCCAATTGTATCAGTGCTCTCTGAGATTGTTTCTGCTGTTGACATAATATATCTTTCAGGACTTCTGCAAGAGAGTGCCATATTGATTCTTTGATGTAAAAGTCCGTTGATTATTACTGCACGTCCTTGAGCTCTTGTGAAAATCCTCGTCGCCATTGTTTTATCCGTGGGTGTGCTTATTTTTTTATCAAATAAGAACGAACGCGCAACTCGAAAGTTTATACATTTTATTCACTATTGACTAAAAATACATGTTAATATAACCAGCGGATTCAGTTAGTTAATTTCCACACGTGATACACGCTTTCGATACATGACTGACGAGCAGAAGATTTTTTCCCGCAGTAGGTTGCCATTTCTTTCTGCAGTAGACTGATTGCTAACCAAGGCTAAAGAATCCAGTCTGTCCTGCTATTTAACCCATAGTTGGGAGAGAAAGATGGATTCATACCTTTTTCAAGGGTATTTGTGCGTAAACGAATATAACGAACTCGACTATTGTGTCCGATAGAGTGTAACACCTATCCTGACCGCACTGGAACGATTTACTCTACAAGACCGACCTTTGGTCCTGCCCTGGTTCAGTATTACAGGTTCAATCAAAGTCTCCGGTTCACAATGTTGATTCGATTCCACTTTCCAGCCACGTTGTGATTTTTTTGATCCTGGAGAAATCGTAGATCCCGGAAGATTCAGCTGGTCTACCTGCAAATTCGTTGGAGCGAAAATCGGGCCAAGTAGAAAAAATCAAATATGAACAAGTCGATTTGAGTCCAAAGAAAAATTTATATATAAGGATATAAGGAAGAAATTGGTACAAAAAGAACAACGCTTCTTTTACAAGAAAGTAGTGTATATGAAAAAAAAAACAAATATTGCAAATAATTCTGAAAGGAGAGAAGTAGTTTTTTGGGTTCACCCTTTTGTTCTTAGTAGTTGCCGTAATTATTTCACTATCAGGATATGAGGGTTTACTGGCAGTATTGCGCCATATATTGCAGATAACTTGTGTTCACTGCCTCCCTTATTACAGCAACAAGCGGATGCTTTCACTTTCCCTGCCCCCCCTCTCTCTCTCTGTCTCTCTCTCTGGTCGCTTGCTTGTCAACCCACTTCACCCAGCTCCAATCGACTTCAGCTGTTTGTTTAGGGACAAATACTCGCTTAAATAAACGCGGTGCTAGCGACAAAACCTCGGGGTGTTGGTAAACTTAGATTACAACCTGATTACTGACCTCTCCCCCTTCATGATTAAATTAACAGTCTCTTCTTCTCATTGGTATTCCATAGTTCATATAAACACTATTGTCTTGACATTTTATATTAATAATTCTGACGAAGCACAGATTCTCTGAGCACAAACTACACCACAGATTATTTTTCTCATCTCTAATCAAAATTCTATATTACAATAATTATTATTTCAGGGTGAACATTGCTCTCTGCCACAAGAGAACATGAGGGAATACCATCTTTAAATATCTTTTCTTCTCACTTCTAGAGAGTTCTGAACAAGGGGCTAGATGTAACCGTATCTTCTATAGTTTCTTTTCTCACATACTCCTTTCCGATTTCTTGCTTCCCGGTCAACTATAATCTTCAAATGCTTAAACGCAATGCTAATTGTCATCTTCTGTCTTTTTGTAACCTGTTCTTTTATTGTTCTTTCTACTCACTAAAGTTTTCGCATTCTCTTTCACTCGCAGTAAACCCTTGCATCTTAGTGACATTATTGCCTTGCTTGGGGTGAAATGATAAAAACTCTTTCTTTTTCTTTGTAGATTTGCATTGTTTGGGATTAGAATATCAATTAAAAGGGGCCACTTTCTTTAGTTATCATAAACTATGATGTCTGATTAGCATTTAAATCTCTTTAGAACCGTTCACAATTCTTATTTTTACGTTATATCTCGCAATATTTGTTGCAGTTTTTCCAAAGCAGTAAATTATAAACCAGAAACTAAACTAATGGAGGATTTTTTCAGAATTAGACCAGTTCAAAATAGTACAATTTTAAGTCCTTTTTTTTCATCCATTGTTTTCAGGTTTGCTTAAAAGAGTCCTTAAATGTCGCCTTCATGGTTCTAGAACTCCAATATCAACTTCGATCTCGAAAACTGTTTTTATGAAGAGAACATCAGCATTGTGGCTAACAAGACCGCCCTATTTATTATTACAAAGCTTCCAGTTTTTTCGTCAGATTCTCTTTCACGCTGTATTGTTCAAAATCTCGTAATACACTGAAATCTCGTAGTACTCTGAAATCTCGTCTTACCGTGAAATATGTTTCAATATTAAATGCTTTCTCGTTAGTCGCTGTTTCTACTTGTAGCAGATTTTGGATTAACGTGACTAATTTTCCACCATATATTACGATCTCGAGCAAGCTTATTTAGTGTCTACCACTTATTAGTTACTAACCACAGGGTTATGTCACCCCTCTACCTTTGTTTTTGTTATCCTCTATTTCTTTCTCTAGACATCATAATATATAAAATTTAGTGAACCCTGTACCCTTCTTAATCGCTTCTAGAATTTGATAAGGATGGTATCCTAGTGTGTTAGGCAAAAAATTTCCAGAAATAGTTTAATTGCTTTTCCTTCATCTTCAATGAAATGTATATTCATCTTCTTATTGACTAAGGCATTTTAACAATTTTCCGTTTTCGCCTTTTAGTGAGTCATTTCCACGATCTGACAAGTTTTCTTTTCCTTGTTTACAACTAATAAATATAGTTTTTGCTGCTATCATTTAATTAAACGTTTGGATCTAACCCATTTTGCAAAATTTCCAGTTAACTAACGTTCCTACCCTGTCATGTCTTTTTTTCATATTGCTATTGAATTAGCATCATGCAAGTGATTAAGACGTGTTTTATTACTTTCTTCATAAAAATGACATTTGCTACATTTTTTGATCTAGTCTATTTTTCAATTGCCTGCAGTCATGTGATATGGAAATTTGAAGGCTGACGAAAGAGGCCTTCCAGAAACAAATCAGACAATTAATACATAGGAAAATTTCGTTAGAAACAAAAGGTGCTGAATAGTAATGTAATATCTAATCTCTTATATGACAGTGAACTGCATATTTTCTATTGAATCCCATTCCAATGTCAATTGTTTGTTTTTCTTTGCTGGTGTTTTTTTTCTGTCTTGAGTCCTTCTCAAATTATTTCGTACTTTGTGAGTTCCATCACAGCTAAATGAACACAAGTTCTCACTGTTCATTCATCTTTCTCTTTATGGGCTTTACAGTTTACAGTACACCTCCTGGTCCATAAACTCTGGACTCAATTTAAGTCACCCTGAGCCTAAGCCGCCCTGGGTATGACGATAAACTTACATCCACGTCCTGGATAAGACGATAAACTACATCCAACAGCAAGGCCTCTGATCAGGAGGTTTTGAGGAGCGTGGAACCACCTCTTAATTGCTGGTGTTCCCAGGTCCACCCTGACCCGGGATGGTAGCATCTGTTAGGGTCCCAGCTATGGGCAAATAGTTAACCCTCCAAAGGGGACAAAACACTATGAAAGTATAAATATAGCAATACTATTTTGAAAAATTATTACCACCAATACAATTTTGAAAAAAAATATTACCAGCAATAAGAATCTTACTTAGCTTCTTCATTTAAGTATGTTGTATAGCATCTCCTTCGCTAATTCCTAGGTACTTATAGGCCTCATCTTGTTCCAGTACCCTAATCTCTATAACAAAGTCTAAATTTATTGAGGGAGCTTCTGTAACTCTCCCTTTCTCGAATGTTACTTTTGCCCATTTATCTAATCCGAAATCCATACCTGCCGTCACTGAAATACTTTACATTATTGAGAAAAACCTTCAACTCATTGTCGTCTTTGGCAAAAGGTTTGAGATCATCCATGTAGAGTAAGTGATTGAATACTTTTTTGTTTAATTTGTAACCATAGCTACTGTTGTTTAGTACATGCGTTAGGGGGGGGGTAAATAACCCATTGAGGATGGTATACCGTAAAACAAAGCAAACCAAACCAAACCAAAACCAAACTTGAGCCAAAGTAATACTGTCGATTCTTGTCGGAACTCCAATTCTTTAACTAAAACTGAAGTGCTCACTTCGACATACACAGCTCATATGACAAAACAACTGACAAACTTCCAGAATGGCGTCCAAAAACTTCCAGGGTCATAAACCCTACTTACTGACCAATCTGAAAAAGTTCATATAAAGTCAATGCCGATTCCACCTACAGGACATACCGACCAGGCAGACATTAGTGACAGACCCCACAATCACGACAAGTGAGCGTGTTCAGACGACCAGCAGCGACACCAAGGCGATTCCATCAAGAGCGATAACTTCGGTCAACAACGAAACCAGCCGCAGCAGAGATTAACTCACTCGATTACATATGGCTGCTTTCTCCACACGCCTATCTCGACTAATATATTGTGTTATACCCCAAACAATGTATCAGTTCCTCCACGACAAATATAGTGATTTTCCAAGCATAGCTCAGAAGTGGCATAAGGCCGAAAGTATTGGGCACCCAGTAAGGATCGAACTCACTACTCAGTCATAATTGTGCTAGCAAGACAAGCTTGCTAACCATTACACCACCTCGAGATGTCCAAAATAGATTAACATATGTAGTTATGGTTATTTTCTAAGCGTAGCTTAGATGTGGCACAAGGCCGAAAGTATGGAGCACCTAGTGAGGATCGAACTCACTTTTCAGTCGTAACTGATCTAGCGAGACATGCTTGCTAACCATTGCACCACGTCGAGGTGCCCTAAATAGTGATTTTCTAAACGTAGCTTAGATGTGGCACAAGGCCGAAAATATGGGGCATCGAGTGAGGATCGAACTCACGACTCATTCGCAATTGGTCTAGCCAGACAAGCTTGCTAACCATTACACCGCCTCGAGGTGCCCTAATTATTTTCTAAGTGTAGCTTAGATGTGGCACAAGGCCGAAAGTATGGAGCACCCAGTGAGAATCGAACTCACTACTCAGTCGTAACTGTTTTACCGAGACAAGCTTGCTAACCATTACTCCATGCCGAGTTGCTCACCTCGACAAATATATAATAGCAATGGAACGAGCAAGTAATCGAACCTTGTAAATCACGGGAAATAAAAATCTCTCTTCCTTAAATTAACCACGATTATTTCCATCAGTTTTTGTCACTTCCACTATTTTTTTTTCTTATTAAAGATAAAGCCACCGTTACAATATATACTACATCATTAATAACGGTCGCTACGAGCGCGTTGTGTATTTTAACAGAACGTTGGAAATTTCAGTTGCAGTTGTAAAAAGAAATCGAAATATCCTAACCGATGGCAAAAGCTTCTAGCGACGCCAAGGGTGGCAGTACCGCCTTAGCCACCGAAACTGTGTTACATCTCATGGTCGGCGGCTAACGAGGACAGGGTATCGCACGTGCTTTCACACGTTATATATAGAGAATTGTATCAAGTGTTTTTATATATTCGTATTCTGTACTGAAAGGAAGAAAAAAGTTCGCTCTTAAAAGGATTAAATAGATTCATCTATCGCCCGGTTCACACTCCTTCTTGGTCTTTTGAGGATGATTAGAGGTTTATCCTTTGCTTTTTCATGTCTATGAGTGGGTTTATAGTCCCTTTTAAAGTCTGCTTCGACTCTAAAGTCTCGGTCTCGGTCTAAACTCTGAAATTTTATTTACTGTTTATTTACATTTTTTTCTCAATAGGGAATAATTAGGTTCATCTACCTTCCAATTCACCCTGGTATTTGGAACAGGAGTAGAGGTTTATCCCTTGTTTTCTGTTTAGGATTGGGTTTCTGGTTCCTTCTAAAGTTTTTTCCATCTCTTTCTCTTCCAGTAGCTTCTTGTGTCGTAGAAGCATTATCACCTTCGTTAGGGTGAATTAACTTTTTTTTCTTTTTAAAGATGGTTAGGCTCTGTCAAGCTATCTTGCCCAAGAAACACCACTTCTACTGCGGCTGCAGTACACATGCTGCCCCTACGACCCTGTTGGGTCACGTGTTTTCGCGATCGAAAGACTTAAAATATACCATCCTTTCGTCTGAGTAGTCTATATATATATATATATATATATATATATATATATATACATATTGATGCATGTTTCATTAAATAATATAGACAAGTAAGTTTGTCTATTTTATGTGATTTTTTTTCATATCGTCAATGAAAATGCTGCCTAAATACACAAAATACATATATATATATATATATATATATATATATATATATATATATATATATATATATAGGTTGTATAAAAAGTACTTTTACAAATCTTCGTGGGTAGGTTCCTATACCAATACAAGGATAAGGTCCACATAATAAACATATGTCCGCAAATCCTTCGTTTTTGAGTTATTAAGTTTAAATTTTACAGTAGACGCTGTTAAAAGTACAATCCAAGATCAATCCAAAATAATTTTACAAACTTTGGGGGTGGGTTTCTGACACCAAAACAATGTAAAATGTTCATATAAACATATGTCCAAAAGGCTTGCGTCTACTACACAAACATGCACCCGTCGGATCATTGATTGGCGGACCCTTTCCAATATCGAATGGTTTCGCAGGCCAACTTTCGTTTTGTAATTATTAGGTTGCAACACTAAAACAGATAAATAATTGTAGCTTCCCTTCGTTTTTTCTTTCTTTTTTCTTTCTTTCTTTCTTATATTTTCCCACTGAAACCAAGTAGCCTTTCTGATATATCAGTTCTGTTTTCAAGCGGTCAAAACTTAATGAGATATTAATTTACTATCAATTTCTTGAATAATAAGATACTTATCCAGTTGTTGTTAGGTGGAAGACACATGTCAAGTACTTTCGACAATTTCAAATTGTCATCTTCAGGGCGCTATTTTCCAATACATAGACAAACACTAAGACGAAATATGTGTTGACCGAAAGACTTTTTTTTTTAATTATGCTATTTAGTGACAGTTAAATATATGTTTTGGAGCGTGCGCCTTGAAGATGACAATTTGAAATTGTTGAAAGTACTCGGGAAATGTCTTCCAACGGACATCTACTCGAATATAAGGATCTTACTATTCAAGGAAGTAATAGTAAGTTAACATCTCATTAAGTTTTGTTAGCGAAATGATTTCGCCATTAATCACATTAACAATGCTATTTAATTCTTTGTATAAATTGTTTCTTTATGATATATATATATATACATATATATATATATATATATATGTGTGTGTGTGTGTGTGTGTATATATATATATATATATATATATATATATATATATATATATATATATATATATATATATGGCCTGACGATTGCATATAGCATGAAACAGACTGTCGCCTCTAAGTGTTGACTTCTATTTCACTTTATATATATATATATATATATATATATATATATATATATATATATATATATATAAATTACTATCATGCATTAAATCTAGTTTATTTGTGGAGCATTTAAACATTTAAATTGCAATGAAACGTTAAAATCTGTGTTTTTATAAATTGTCCAAACCTCAAGCTGTACCACCCCTCTCCTTCCTTCAAAACCCCACATCTATCTCTTATTTCTTATCTCTTTACTTCCCAATTTTTTTCCTTTTTTCTTTTTTCCTTCCTCCCCCCCATATCATTTCCGGTGAGTTGACCGATTAAATAGGTCAAAGTATGATCCATAAACCCCCTCCTCCTCAATATTAAGTATTATAATAAAATTAAAATAAATTCGAAAATTCTCCCTTCCCTCTCTAATTTCGACCATGTCGTTCACACTATCCCTCACCACCCTCTATGTCACCTTATAAAAGCTTAATACTGCCCTTCAAAAGTGTAAATTTTAAATTCATTTTTTCACCCTTGAAAGTGAAGTCTGAAGATCCAGAGAAAAATAAAATTTCTAGTGAAATAAATTATAACAATGGAACCTTATAGTGATCTGTTTTTCTTTTAAATTATATATATATATATATATATATATATATATATATATATATATATATATATATATATATGGTCTCGTGCTTCTGCTATGTATTTAGAGATTCTTCGCACAATCCAAAGAAAAATTTTAATATTATCCATTCTGACCTGTCATCTCGGCTTCAGTCTCTTTCCCACCGCCGTAAGTTAGCTTCCCTGTGCCTTTTCTCTCTCTCTCTCTCTATATATATATATATATATATATATATATATATATATATATAAATATTTTGATGTCAATTGTTCTGATGCGCTTTCCTCTTTGGTACCTCAACTTTACGAATTTAATCACAGTACTGAATTGGCAGCTAGGGCTCACCATTTTACATTTTTAAATATTACTTGATGCAACCGAAAGTTCTATGACAGTTTCTTCTCTCGCACTCCACGCTTGTGGAATTTTCTTCCGGTTTCTTGCATCCCACTAAACATTGATCTTCAAAAAAATTAGATGCAATGTCAATCGTTATCTTCTGTCTTCTTGATTCTACTTCTTTTGTTGCCCTCTCTCCTTAATATTTTTTTCTCGGATTCTCAGTAAACCCCGTGAGATTTAGTGGCTTTATCGCCTTGCTTAGGGTGAAATAAATAAGAAAATATGGATAATGGTCTTTGATGTAAACTTGCTCATGAAATGATCCTGAAATTTATGAACACTTTGTTTTGTGTAACATTATACCATAACAGTGAGGTATCGAGTAAAAATCGCTAACTCTTCAGGTCATTTTACGACGTAGGCGATCATGGCTCTCCACAAATTCCATTATCTGAGAATTGGCATGCCATCGTGGAACAAAACAGTTGAGTTGTTTCTCCACAATTTGGATTCTTTTTTTTTTCTTCTCTTTGGTTGCTACCCAATGCTAGAAAGTCTGTAAGTTTTAATCACAGTAAGGAAAGAAAATATTCGTACGCTGAGATATACTGTTCTCAGATTATATTTTCCTTCGATGCCTTACAAGACTAAATGTCAATTGTTCTGCGATTTACCCAAAAACTGGTGTGGAAGGAATTAATGAGAAGTGAAAATAGTTTTAGAACGAAACTGGAACTCGATTCGCCAATTCTGTTTACCATGGCAATAACCGTTACGCTTCTCTACACCTCGTTGTAAGTCATTCAAAAACAATATTAAGTTTTTTCTTTCTTTTCTCTCTTTGACAGGCATTTTTCTGATATACACCGGTTCTGTAGCCGCTGATCCTGGTAAGCAGTAAATTTCACATCTTTTTCATTTCATCAAGTTGAACTGACTAAGAATAAAAATTGAAACCTAAAAAATGAATAATTATAAAAAAAAAAAATTATTAAAGTATAGTTTAATGAATCATTAGTTCCTCAGCAAAGCAATTGTTTAATTCTTATGAGTTCCTTGATATTCAATAACATTCATTGCTATGAACATCAGCTGTTATTTTTCCAATGATATTTGCTGGGATATTGTTTTCCTCTGTCATGTACAGCTCTTTTAACGATAGGTGGCAACCTTTCTATGGGATTAATATCCAAAGATCTTGCATTATTGCAATGTCTTCTCTTAGAGTACCAGTAAAGCATCCCCACTTTAATAGTGGTTTCACAGGTTAATGGGAAAACATATCCAATTCATGTAGAGAGGCACGTTTTCTTTAAGAAAACTCCCGAAAATCTACGCCGGTAGATGTTAATTTAATTGTTTAAAAGCAGAGTAATGCCTACTGAAACAAGTTTATTCGCTAAATATAGGTTTATAGTAATAAGAATGATATATATATATATATATATATATATATATATATATATATATATATATATATATATATATATTAGAGAGTGCAGCTTATATTTTATATATAAAGAAACAATTTATACAAAGAATTAAATTACAATGTTAATGTGGTTAATGGTGAAATCACTTCGCTAACAGAACTCAATGATACATTAACTTACTATCAGTTCCTTGAATAATAAGATCCTTATATTCGAGTTGTTGTCAAACGGAAGACACATGGCAAGTACTTTCAACAATTTGAAATTGGCATCTTCATATATATATATATATATATATATATATATATATATATACGAAGAAAAAAATATACGGAAAAAAACAAACAAAAAATCCTAATATGCAATTATGCTGTTTTAATGTTAATATAATGTCAACATCGGACGTTTCGATCTAGTAGACCATCTTCAGGACATATTCATAAAACATAATTAACATTAGACTATATTTAATTCAACATGAAAAGACGATGGACATAAGAGTAAGACTAATCAAAACAGACAACTGAAATTTTTCAAGATCAGCGTTCTGTTTCAATATGATCACGTCGGCGTCACGTCGGCGATGTTCTGAAAACGTATTCCTAAAATATAGTATTTTGAATGAAAAATGAAAAGAATTTTATTTTAATCTAAAATTTATATGTACGTTTGTCGAGCATTAATATTGCTAGAAAAGGGGAAATATTAAATATTAATATATGTTGAATTAAATATAGTCTAATGTTAATTATGTTTTATGAATATGTCCTGAAGATGGTCTACTAGACCGAAACGTCCGACGTTGACATTATATTAACATTAAAACAGCATAATTGCATATTAGGATTTTTGTTTGTTTTTTCCGTATATTTTTCTTCATACTGTCGGATCTATATCCATATTTGCTTATATATATATATATATATATATATATATATATATATATATATATATATATATATATATATATATCCTAGTAAATTTGTAGTGTTGAAACATAATTGTAATACTGTAGCGATTTTTAAGATGTTTTTATTTTAATATCATAAAATAAATAATATTATACATATATTAAAAAGTACAATTTCTTACAAATGGAGTGACTTCACTTGTAAGAAATTTAAATTTCAGAACGATTTTAGCGGTCACGCACTGACGCAGTGTCCCTCGCTCTATTTGTAAGATATTTAACTTTCAAATAACACAACAATTTGTCTTTGACAATAATGAATACTACAATATTTATTTTGTAATAAACAATACTGATGATGATAACATGGATATGTCGAAAGTACTTGCAAATAAAAGAAATATGTATCAATTTCTCTCGTCCTTCAATAATGACGCCAAAAAGCTTATTCGCGTGTATGAAGGATCTTATCGAAAATATGTAGACGAAACATATCTTAATGAAAACATGCCGCCGAAACATACGCACATATATACATATATATATATATATATATATATATATATATATATATATATATATGTAATGAAAATGATAGATGATGTAATGGAATGACCAGTCACCCCAATGAATGATTACACTATAGGTAGTAAGTACGATAGACTTCGGGAAGAGTGAGAGATTGAATAGTGGTCTCTCCTATTCTTCGCTGTCGAACTCATTGTCTTGAGCAGAAAGAAACCCGGACGAGGCCTTGCCGAAGGGCAAAGTTACGTCCGAAGAGGTAGACAAACCCCGAACCTGCCTATGCGGGTTCTAAGGGAATATTTTTGGCCGAGCCTACGGGCTCGGAGAACCCACAGTAAACTCGGCCTTGTGCGACATACATCCCTCGTGGGGTGCTGTTAAATATTATGAGTGAGAGAGAGAAGACGCAAGCACACCCGACCTTCCAATTAGTGGCACTCACTACTAGGTTGACCTGTGTGTATAACTTTACCATATTTTATATTGTAATGGTTGTGTACAATCAACCTTTCTACCCCTGGTGTTAAGTATCTATTCCCTTACCACGGAATATAACAATATATATATATATATATAATGCTATCCACCCCAGTTATGTATGAACATGTTATTATGAGTAGCCATTGGTATTAACGGAAACTTTAACACTTTAATAATAATGTTAAAGAATCCTCAGTTATTCAAATTTCAGTCACACCGTTACAAAACCAAAACATTATTCTAAAGACTAAATATTTTCGTCAAATCGAGACTTCCATATAAATATGCATGGCACCAAACAGGTTAATAAAAGTTTAGACAGTTTCGATAACAACCGATCTCTCAGATCAATTGTTAAAATGGCTACGAATGAACGAAGCCTTTAGGTCTTAGCGAGGATCATCATTATTTGTACCTCGTTAACAGGTGCGATAGAATCACATGCAAAGAATTTTACCAAATAACAGGAACCACATTGTTTGAAGACTTCCAGTCATTCTCTTAAATAGTCTTTTCGAGATTTTCTTATGGATGCCATGAATGCTACTAAACTCATTCAGATATGTCTAAACTGTCAACTATATACAACCGTTTTCTCATACCAATGCTTAAAAATGGGTGCGAAAGAATGAACCCTACTGATCTTAGCGAAGATCATCCTTCGTTGTACCTCGTAAACAGTCGCTATAGAATCTCAAACAAAGAACTTTACCAAATAACAGAAACCTCATCATTTGAAAACTTCCAAAAACATCAACAGCATACGACATCTTTATAAGGAGCCGACAGTTTTTCCAACATATTTTGTGATGTATCATGTATTTGATCTGTATAAAAAGCCGAAGACAAAGTCGTTGTTAATGATATCAATACTTGAAGAAGACTATCCTTCATTAGCTAGCATGGACTGGCGCTACATAATCTCAAAGAAAGAACTTTACCAAATATTTTCGTCAAATCGAGATTTCCATATAAATATGCATGGCACCAAACAGGTTAATAAAAGTTTAGACAGTTTCGATAACAACCGATCTCTCAGATCAATTGTTAAAATGGCTACGAATGAACGAATCCTTTAGGTCTTAGCGATGATCATCATTCTTTGTACCTCGTTAAGAGGCGCGATAGAATCACATACAAAGAACTTTACCAAATAACAGGAACCACATTGTTTGAAGACTTCCAGTCATGTTCTTAAATAATTTTGTCATTTTCTTATGGGTGCCATGAATGGCACTAAACTCATTCAGATATGTCTAAACTGTCAACTGTATACAACCGTTTTCTTTTATCAATGCTTAAAAATGGCTTCGAACGAATGAAGCCTATAGGTGTTAACGAGGACCAAATTCTCTCGGATCTCTTTATTAAGTGGCGAAAAAAGAATGACAGACAAAATGCTTTATTAAATAACAGAAACAACATCATTTGAGGACTTCCAACAGCGGCAACAACTAAAATGTATAGCACATGTAACTCGAAGAACGGATAATGGCATAAGATATTGGAATTCCACACTAATCAAACGAAAGGTCAGAGAAGAATTACCCATCAATAGTGGAAAGATCTATAACAATTAGTGGAAACCTATTAACTGAAAAATTGTTTAAGGAAAGATTTTATAAATTTCAACTGAAAGTAACACTTGCTGCTCGGTCAATGAATGCCGGATCTTTCCATATAAGGAAACTGCTAATGTTACCATTACTATTTTTAGGTTACAGATTTCTTCATTTTTTTCCCTTGGTTTCAAACAAGAAAAACATCCGTAACGTGTTACATTGATCGGTAAAATTCACAGTAAGAGATCGGAATAAAGAATCAGTTTTTAGTAAGATTCAAATTCCCATCACATAATGTTATCTTACATGAACATCACTCCTTTACTGATTCGGCTAGTGAGGCCAACGGTTCGGCAGTTTCCAACAAATTCCCAAGATATGCGATACGAGTTCATGCCTTGCTCCTTTCCTCTGATTTCACGCTGATTTAAAAAACGACTGATATTCGATTTGAAAGGCGATAAAAACACAATAAAAACACTAGTAAAGAAATTTTAACGAAATTACTTCGTGTAAAAATCAAGATAAATTCAGATTAACACTTGATCAAAATATCTTCCATCTGCAGCGAGTTGCAAATTACATACAATACACGTGTCAATTATAATACACGTGTCAACTGCATGTACGTGCTGAGGATAAACACCACCAAAAAAGGTCACTTGTTTGCCGTACCTATGAATAACATTTTTATACTCTCATGCAAACCAATCCAAGGCAAATCAGACTGGCTACCTATTTGACTCTCGTGCAAATCAAACCTATGTCTACCTTTTCGAATCTCGCGCAAACCAAACCAAACCAAACCTATGTCTACTTTTCTGACTCTCGTACAAACCGATCCTATGTCTACCTTTTTGACTCTCATGCAAGACAAACCTATGTCTAGTTTTTAGGCTCTTATACAAATCAAACCTATGTCTACCTTTCGACTCTCGCCCAAACCAAGCCTATGTCTACATTTTTTACTGAAAAAC